AAATTAAATATTCAAATGTATAAATGATTGATCAATATTTTCTTCCTCATTTGGTGAGAGTTTGTATGATCGCTTAGGCTGTTGAACTGTAGTTGATGAAAGAAATGCATTGTCTTTGTCATATTGCTAATTTTGAGGATCAAGCAACGTTATAGTACGTGAAAAGTGAACATTTTTATTTTCCGGTTTTCACAGAAAATCTATTTAATCTTGAAGGGATAATGAAGTATGCATTTACTTGTGCAGAGGGAATTAAAGGACCACTATAGGCACCCAGACCACTTCAGCTCAATGAATTGGTCTGGGTGCCAGGTCCCTCTAGTTTTAATCCTGCAGCTGAAATCATAGCAGTTTCAGAGAAACTGCTATGTTTAACTGAGGGTTAATCCAGCCTCTAGTAGCTCTCTCACTGACAGCCGCTAGAGGCGCTTCTGCGATTCTCACTGTAAAAATCACAGTAACAAAGATGCTGGATGTCTATAATAAAGCATTGAGTAATGCTTTCCTATGGGCGGGTTGAATGCACGCGCAAAGCTGACGTCGGCAGAGGGAGGAGAGTTCCCCAGCGCGAAGGGAGCCCAGCGCGAAGGGAGCCCAGCGCTGGAGAAAGGTAAGTGGCTGAAGGGGTTTTAACCCCTTCAGCCCAGCGGGAGGGGGCCCCTGAGGGTGGTGGGGGACCTAATGACCCTACAGTGCCAGGAAAACAAGTTTGTTTTCCACTATAGTGGTCCTTTAAGCATGGAAACTTAGAAGGGACCAAGGGAAACAAACCTTGTGTGGACCGACTGACTATAAATTAGTTAAGATAAAGCTAACTTTGATAACTGTGCAATTGTTGGGGGTATGGATGTGGTTGAGGGATAAAAGTAAGAGATTGGCACAGGGTATGTGTATTCTTATAGCTGCATCCTGGGAGTTTCCCTCCGGCACACCTTCATCAGAAACATGACGTTAGGTAGGTTATGACTGTTTTATAACTGTCTGTCAATAAGAATTAGGCCCATCATAATTGTCAGCACCAGGCCCAACAGGCTCTTAATCTGGCTCTGATTACCAAAGCTTTAAAAAAGTTCACAAGTGAAGGCAGATGATTAATTAGGGCACAGTTATAGCACAATAGAAACCGTTAGCTTTGACTAGTTGACTAGTTATGGCACAATAGAAACCATTAGCTTTGATGGACATATTGGCTGCATCTCTAGACCTAACCTACACTTGTGTTCTCCAATTATCTAATAATCTTTGAGTGGCTCCTCTGGATTATGTAACATAGTTCTGTTGTTTTTGGGTTCCGTTGCTGCCCATTGTGTTCTATGGCTGCTCTACATTAATCCTTCTAATCTGATATTTCTAGTTGAATGGTCAGGATCCCAGCTTCTAAATAGCAGGAGTGTAGCCCCTACAATGCTAAACAGGTTTACATTTTCAATGTATAATAGAAAGGGAGGCTGAATGGATTTAATCCAGCTTTGATCCTTTACAAATTAAGCTGCGTAAAAAAACCAATACCCTGATTGCTACATATAAGAAACACAAGGCAAGACTGACGTTATCTGGCTTAGACATATACAGAGATTTCATTTGTATTATATCATTTTACAAACAAACTATAAATGCCTGTTATTGCTTGAAAAATTAAGTTTAGGCAGTCTTTCTCCACGACACTTTATCTATCAGATATGCAAGTAGGATTTCTAATTTCTTTCTTGAGCAAAACAGAGCTATACTTTTCATAGCAGTAAAACTCCAGAAAAGTGTACATGTCAGATGACCTATCTTCTTGCTCTGGGCTGTGGTTACGTCCAAGCACTGTATGTTCACAATGTTGATGGGTGCAGATCTTCTAGAAAGCAGGACTGTGGACACGGAGGGTGAGTTTTGTGCCCATATTAACAACCACTCTGGGAAGGCTAATTTGGCTGTTCACTAAAGTCAAGTTCATTGTAAAGTCTGCTATATTGACAGTGTGACACTACCCCTCAATTACAGTAGTGTACAACTTAGATCGCTCAGTATTACTAGTATGCTAGGTTGACTATTAGTGGCCTATGGCAGACTTCTCAAAGGCAAATGCTACTAGTTGTGATAACTATTGGCATCCCTCTGGCCCTTGACCCAGGAAGCATTGTACCATGCAGCAGGTGATGTCAGATTTAACAGAGCATTCATGCATTGGCCCATTCTCTATCTGCCCATCACACTACGCAGGAAAAGGTAGCAGGCTGCATACATGAAACCACGTCTGTGCCCCACAAGCCTTTATAGTGCATGTAAGGTGCCAAACTTCACATTCACTCCTAGGCCGCTCATAGTCATACAACTTTGCTTTATTAATGAAACAGGTTGCCATGGCAACATACCGACAGCTTTGCAGTTATAGGCAATACAAAGCTACTTCAAGATGAGTAATATTACCATGACAACTGGGTGCCTTTTGCATGCATTTTCTCACTCTAACATGTAACATTACACTTCCATCACAACATTAGGTTCCTTTAGTTGCATTACAAATATTGGTGAGCTTGTTCTAAGGAACCATTTACTATCTTAGAATATTATTGCTTTATTATTATTACTTTGGCTTTAGTGTCATTAGAAAAATCACTCTTCCCGAAGTCTTTCTGGTGAATGCACACCTTTTATTGCTGCATTTATAATGCAGGCAAATCTTATCAGTGGCCCTGGAACTGATAAAAACACAACAAAAAAGCACTCTGCTTTGAAGATTGCTCTATTTGTTTTCTGAAAAATCTACAACTTTTATTTTCTATGCCTAACACTACTTGAAAACAAGGAAAAATCTCAATGTATCCGTCCTGGTAAAATAATTATATATATAATAAAAAAAAATAATAATAATAAAGTAAAGGTAGAAGGTTGCAAGACATAAAACGGAGAGCTATTTTAATGTTGTAAAATACTTGGCATGACTGAAGTATAAAATACATTGGTTTATTAATATCAAAGCGCACTTGATTTGACCTTCATCATTTTCTCCATCCTATAACATACCTGAAGTGTTCAGCATGATCTTTCAGCTGTAATGTCCGCACTGGAAGGTGACGACAAGCCCTGGCAGTCAACATTGTTCTGTTATGACAACCTTTCCTCTGGTAATTCAATGAAACCTGCACATATATATAAATGTAATCAGTTATTTTCCCCTCAGACACTCCGTTTCTCATGTGCTAGATAATATATACCCCAAGAGTCACTACCAAAAGGAGTAGATATTTTTTTCCAGTTCAACTATTTTGACCTTAAATAGGAAATTCACATTGAGTGAATAACCTTGTATTAGTACTAACGTACAAAGTATATCTTATAAATGCAGGGTCACAAGAAAAGTGGACAGACTGAGCAGAAGCTTTCAAAACTGTAGTTAGTGGACCACCAGTGTGCTCCTGGAGATTGTCCTCTGTATGAAAGAGTGTTAGAAAGAGAACACATTATTTTGAGAATAATTTTTTATTTATCTATAAAATATTTTACCAGGAAAGATACATTGGGATTTATTTTGTTTTCAGGCATATCCTGGGTCCACAAAACATTGCATTGATACAATAGGGTACAATAAAATACAAAATCAATATTAATACACAATATATACAAAATTTAACATAGAACAGGAAATATATAATCAACCATGACAAGTGCATTCTGTTTTGAGGTCTGTAGAGAGGGATCTCTTAAAGGACCACTATAGTGCTAGGAAAACATACTTGTTTTCCTGGCACTATAGTGCCCTGAGGGTGCCCCCACCCTCAGGGTCCCCCTCCCACCGGGCTCTGGAGAGAGGAAGGGGTTAAAATCTTACCTTTCTCCAGCGCCGGGCGGGGAGCTCTCCTCCTCCTCTCCTCCTTCCTAGCGAGTTCATCGGCTGAATGCACATGCGCGGCAGGAGCCGTGCGCGCATTCAGCCAGTTCATAGGAAAGCATTTACAGTGCTTTCCTATGGACGCTGGCGTCTTCTCAGTGAGAAACGCGGAAGCCCTCTAGTAGCTGTCAATGAGACAGCCACTAGAGGCTGGATTAACCCTCAGTGTAAACATAGCAGTTTCTTTGAAACTGCTATGTTTATTAAAAAAAAAAAAGGGTTAACCCTAGCTGGACAAGGCACCCAGACCACTTCATTAAAGGACCACTCTAGGCACCCAGACCACTTCATTAAGCTGAAAAGGTCTGGGTGCCTATAGTGGTCCTTTAACCCCTTAAGGACCAAACTTCTGGAATAAAAGGGAATCATGACATGTCCCACATGTCATGTGTCCTTAAGGGGTTAAAGGACTTTAGGCTTAGGGAAGATTAAGAGTTTGCTTGAGTTGTTATGCTCATTAGCTGCAAACAGTAACTGGCAAAGAATAATAGTAGTTGTATTTCACTGGTATAAACAGTGTATTTCACGTTGAAATAGCATAGCATTGAAACACACCTAATACAGGTATGGGTTTCTCCAGTGCTATACGTGTCAGTGTAGGACATGTGGAGAGACCAGTAAAGCAGTCTGCCCACAGTTACTGAAATGAGAGCTGCATGGTGACACACAGAATACCATGCAGCTCTATATAACCCATGTTTATATTATTATCTATTAATGGGGCATGCCAGCTTCTGTCAATGAACTGACGTAAATTCCACCTTCAAATGTTACAAACCTGCAACATTGTTGAACAAATGTGAGTGACTCTAACTCAGGGGTGGGTAGGACTACAACTCCAATGATGCTTTGCCAGCAGTAGAAATTGTAGTGTTACAACAGTTGGGGGGGATCTACTTTCGGTCCTAGTTTAACCCCTTAAAATATGTATATATGAATATCATTGCTACTGATTGAAGCCAGGGTTACAAAGGATCTATACAACGATCTGGCTTACACTCATAACATAATTATTCTTTGCATTAAATAGCATGTATCTGCACTTTTCTCCCCTGTATTCCACTAGAATTCCAGCCATTCTGTGCATAGAACATACAGGACCCAATATATACATGGTGTCACCAACCTGTCTCCCCTGCAGCCAGTGACTGCCCTTGACAGTGGCGGGTGCAGTTTTTGGAGGAGGAGGAGGGTGTAGCGTGTTCCCTCGGAAGTGATCTGTTGTCCCAGCTCCTCCTCCATACAATGTAGCGGCTCCCTGGCCGGGGTGTCCGAGGACTGAGACATGGGGCTTTCTGCTGCTCAACAAAGGGCCGTGTTGCTGGTTTCCCTGTCCCTTGGCCTCACACTGGCCCTTGGGTTCGGGCTCCCGCAGGTTCTGAAGCTGCTGTTCCGATTCTTGGGTTTTCCGTGTGATAATGTATCGCATTGCATTGTCCTGCTGTACTTTGTGTTAGTGCTGTGTGTGGCACTGCCAGCTGTACCCAGAGGATCTGTGCCAGTGAGTGGTCTGTATTTTATCCTGTTAAACAGCCCGTGCCATGGGCTGCCAATGCCAGTAGCATGGCTTTAATATAGATTGCTGTTAATTGCCTGGATGCTAATAATATTTGCAATGCATAGGGCATTGAGGTACCCCACCAGTGCATGGAGTATCCTGTTTAACATCACCTGTTACATTCACGTACTTCATACAGGGGCTCCCTAACAGTGTGTAATGTGATATGTTTATCCAGTTTCATGACATGCCAACATACATTTGTGATGTTCAATAGTCTAGTTCTGATCTAGTTTGCTTTTCCCCCACTTGGGTCAATGCCATGGCTGAATTTGCTGTGACATACTGGCACTAAGCCTGAATTGGTGATTAATTGACAGAGTGGAATTTAGTTGAATGGTCTATTCAATATTGTTTTATTTCAAGCACAGCTAAGAATATATGGGTTTTTTGTTAGTCTGTTTTTTTAACTTCGATGTTGAGAATTAACCTGTTGTTCTACAAGTTAGTCACTCTATCTACTTGTTGTGTTATTGTTGGATGAGCTTTTAAAACATCAGTGTTATGTTACCTCGTCTAGAGAGTTAGCGGGATGATAGCTAGAGGTGCCTATATTCAAAATGTATAGATTTATAATTCCCATCAATCTTAAATTACAATCCAGAATAATCATTTCATCCATCCTGAGCATCAGTGATTGGCTGAGGGCACTGGGTTAACCTGTCTTAGATTTATATTTTAAATTGACTTTGAATTCTTACTTTAGTAAATATCATACTTCCTTATTTAAGAGGGACAGTCCATGTTTTGGAACCAAAAACATCTGTCCGTCCTTTTTCCTTGTCCCTCTTTTGTAGGAGCTCCATATTGTTGGTGTGTGAGGGTGTAACATTGATCCACCGCAATAATATGTCTTTAAACTACAATAAATGTGTTTAGAAATCAGTATGTAAATAAGACACCACCTTGTTCTAAACTACATTTTAGCTGTTTAAATTATTATTACTTACTAATATTTATTAAAACAGACCCGACCCCTAACCGTATCACCAACCACACACTATACAATTAAAGTGTCCCTCGTTGTCTATTTGAAATGTTGGGAGGTATGGAATAGTCTGTGAAATATCACCTCACTCTCTACAGGAGACAAAGAATTGAAAGATAATATACACTAATCAAAGAGACATTATCTCCTGATGAATAAGTAGCATTCCTTTTGGAGTGATATAGAGAGCACAAACTGCCTGCAATTTGACAAGTAGGAGATAAATGTGTGAAAGTGATAGGACTCTGGTCTGTTGAGAGTAGTTATCTTCTACAGGCCTTATCACTTTTTTTTTTTTTTTTTTAAGCTATTTTGTTAAATATGGCCACACTTTCAGTGTCAGGAAAATGTTTTACTTTTCTGAGAAATATGTGGACATTTTGTAGATTTCCAAATGTCCTGTTTTCAGAAAAATAAGTGAGAGTTAAATTTATTTCAATGATGGTGCACTTTCCACTATCTAAAGTGGCATTTGATTGTATAGATAATGTGTATTATTACTGTCTTCCAGATACAGGGTAAAGAGGTGCTGATCACTGGGTGTGACTCGGGATTTGGACTTGCATTGGCGAAACATTTGCACAAATTGGGATTTACTGTATTTGCAGGGTGTTTACTGAAGGTGAGTACACGGGGGGAGGAGGGGGGGGAATATATAAATTTCACAGATCTATAGGGGTGCGCAACCTATTGCATTAGGGTGTGCACCCTAAAGCACAAAAACACATGCCACTTGTATATGTGTATATATATTTATGCTCGGAATCTCTATTATGTTAAAGGACCACTCTAGGCACCTAGACCACTTCAGCTTAATGAAGTGGTCTGGGTGCCTGGTCCAGCTAGGCTTAACCCATTCTGTTATAAACATAGCAGTTTCAGAGAAACTGCTATGTTTATGAATGGGTTAAGCCTTCCCCCAAATCCTCTAGTGGCTATCTCATTGACAGCCGCTAGAGGCGCTTGCGTGATTCTCACTGTGAAAATCACAGTGAGAGCACGCAAGCGTCCATAGGAAAGCATTGTAAATGGACCCTCCGTACTTGATGCCCAAATCAACCACCTTGTGCAAATATAAATCAAGCTCTTCTCTCCTTTGTTTGTACACCGTGCAGATAACATCGCGATAAGTGCCAAACGCGATAACAAATTGTGGAATGGTGAGTTTTTTTATTCAAACGTGGATCTCTAGCTCTTAAGACAACCGAAATGTCCCTGTAGTTATATGCTCTATTTTCTAGGACGTCTTGGGAGGCTATGAGGAGGGACCTGGAGTGGCTTTGCAGCCTGCTGTTTATGGCTTGCAGATTGGCCAGTATAGTAGCCAGAGTGTCCTGGGTAGAATCAGAATAGCCAACTGGAGGCCCTTGAGAACTCGTGCCGGGCCTTGGGTTGTTGGCCTGAGCTGTCAGAAGTTTATAAAGTTCAGCCTTTCTAGCGGTGGCTGGAAAGGGGATCTCCCTGAGCCTGAGCTCAGCCGATATTTTGGGGATGGTCCAATATCTTGGGGATCTGGGAGTAGAAGGAGTGAGGGATTCCTCCAGAAACCCAGGCCTGGCTGGCATGCTGGCTACCTCATCTGATGGGGAATCGATAGTCGGTTCTTGAGACATTCTGAAAGGAATAAATGATATGGATAAGTAGGGTACAGTAGAGGTGGGATGAAACCTCCGGAGAACTGGCCTGATAGTTAGTGCCGAGGCGAAGAAATTACCTAGAACCAAGTGACGCGTGAGGCCCTGCTATTGCCAAGTGGCGGTGGGAGGCTCTACCTATGATTTGGGCCGAGTGGGGTTTTGTGGCCACCAGAATGAGGTGGCGGGGTGTTGGCCTCCCGGTGACTGTAAGAGATTCAAAACGTGTGGCTGTGACATGGGAAGCCCTAACTGTAGCCCAAAGACAAGCGAACGAGGTGGCTAGCTATGCTTTGGTCGTGGGGCAGAACCTCCGTGTTTGAGGTAGGGGTGTAGACCTCACGGACCACAGTTTTTATTTGGGAAAGCTAGGGCCGGTGCCTGCCCTGAAAGCCAGTTCTCTAACCTGATGGGGGCTTGTCTCTTGCGAGAAGTATGTAACATATGTAAATACTGACCTTAAGTGTTTGTCCTGTATAATGGGACAATGCTCTGGGCGACTTCAATATATCTGTGTTATATAAATATACTTCGAAGAAGAACGGGTTCAGTCCAAGAACCTAAAGGTATATAAGATACTAGTAGGCCTGAGGCGTGCTACTGGTATACCAAGTGTAAAAATGTAGAACGTATGGAAAGGTGTGTAGCAGGGAGACTGTGATGTAAGCCCTGCGTAAGCTGGGGGACCTGAACGTAGGTCCAATTTAAGAGACAAGCCCTTGGTTCCACCAATGTGCATAATTTGTGAATGATACGTAGGCGAAGGGAGGCCTTAAAAGGAACGTAAATGTAGTGAGTAAGATTAATGATAAGTAATTTTTCTAGTGGTCATATTTTATTTGGAGCGCTCACATACCCTTGTTGGTTAAGATTAATGATACCTGAAACCGAAACGTTTGGGACCGGGCAGCCTGTTGGTTGTTGTTGGCGTATTGAGTCAGCGAAATGGTGCTGGGCTAAGTAACGATATTCAGAAATAATAAAACAAATTTAATATGTACAAATAATAACAGTCACATGGTGGGTGATGCATCTTGACATCTGGTGTTCTTTAAAGTTATTAGCCCACTTAGGCGGTGGGAGGGAATTTTGTAAAAAAGGCCGTGGAGGCTGAATGAGGCCTCATGAAAACGTAAAAATGGCAACCTTTTTTTTTTTACCTGAACCTTGAAATGGGAAACTGGAACCACATTCTGGAGTTATTTCTTTAAGAAGAGAGGCAGAATCTAAAACATGTTATATTTACGTATAAGGAACCGGGTATAATGTTTAATTTAGACAGAGATTTAATTTAAAAGAATAAACGTGGAGCTGGAGGTTTAATGGTGGCTCAGCTCATCGATATCACAAACGTATAGGGGCCACGTGTTACTTTAAGAGAATGGCCCCAGGGAATATATCAGATTAAATGACTGGTGGTGAATAATGTCACATAGATTTAAGAAAAAAACCGTAAGAAGAAATAGGTAAGGAACATTTGAAATTTATAACTAAATATTTAAACCCCCTTGTGTTCGTCTACTATTACGTTCGGGATATTACTGGGTAGTTAGATAAGGATCCAGACAAAAGATTGTGTGACAAATAGCCGTTCATACGTGTTCGGCTAAACAGACAAATGCCAGAAACATACGAACGTGGGTGAGAATAAGCGGTCGGTAATTACTTTAATGAGAGTAAGCGAAAAGCGTGTATTCTGCGGTCGGCTGATAGCCACTCGACCGCAGAAGAACACGAACAGTGAGGGTTGGGGGGACCTATTAATACTATAGTGCCAGGAAAACGAGTTTGTTTTCCTGGCACTACAGTGGTCCTTTAAGGACCGCAGACGTACTAGGTAAGTTCGACAAAAACGGTCCCTAAGGACCGCAGATGCACCTAATACGTCTGCGGCAAATATATTACCTACCCAATCGCCACCGTTCCCCAGCCAGCGATCAGTGCCCAAACAGTTCCCCCTCGGCAAATTAGGCCCCTGTGGGCCATATGATCTCTCTGGCCTCAATAGGTGTCTTTGTATCTGCCTGCAGGGGGACTGCCTGGCCTGTCAAGCAGTTGCCCTGCTGCTGTAAAAAAAATAATGTTAAAAAAAAAAATATGTCCTGAATATGTCCACAGTTGTGAACTGAAACCTTGACCACTTGGATTAAATGCCTATTTTTTCATGTTGAAGTCCTTGAGTGCTGGCTTTCTTTTTGGAGACTGTATTTGTGTGCAGCTGAGCACCGGGCCAAGATTTGGAGGAGAGCTGGAGTGTAAAACTCCCACCGTATTTTGTGTGTGTGTGTATATATATAATATATATATATATATATATATATATATATATATACTAAGTGTATTTTTATATTAATATATACATATTTAAATTACACACGCGTGTGTGTATGTATATATATATGTGTGTGTGTGTGTATAAATAAGTAAAAATTATAAAAAAATATTTATGTAATTTTATTCTAATTGTATTTTGATAATATATTTATATCAAAATACACTTAGAATTAAATTATACATGTAATCTGTGTATATATAAATAAAAATACAATATATATATCTATCTCCACAGAGCTTTCATCAGGACATGGCAATGACATTGGCCATGTCCTGATGAAAGCTCCGTAATGGAGCTGAAACATTGATGTCATTTTGAATAAAGAAGAATAACTTAAACTCCTTGGAGTGCCGGTATTCCCTCTGTATATATTGCTAAGCAACCAGAGCACCAGGTACCATTATTTCTTGGCTGGAGTGCAAGGGCTTTTTACTTTTATATTTACATAAATACATAAATAATTTCATAAATATACACGTAGACTTCAAATATATAAATATGTATATATATTTAAATTCTACGTGCATATTTAAGTAATATTTTTACATAATTAAGTAATTTTATTGATTGCAATTTGGGGAAACTGCCTGACAACTAGGGCCGTAAGTCCAGAGAATTTAATTTGCCAGCACGATATTTAACCCTGTAACTTTCCAAGACACCCTAAAACATGGGGGGTTCTGTTTTACTCGCGAGAACACAATTATTTGTGTTTCAAAACAGTAAAACATCACAGCGATGATATTGTCAGTGAAAGTGAAGTTTTTTTGCATTTTTCACGCACAAACGGCACTTTTACTAAAGATATCATTGTTGTGATACGTTTTACTGTTTTGAAACACTAATATTTGAGTTCAGCGAAGTCTCCCGAGTATAACAGTACCCCCAATGTACAGGTTTTATAGTGTTTTTGAAAGTTACAGGGTCAAATATAATGCTTCATTTTCCATTTTTTCACATTTAAATTTGCTAGATTGTTTATGTTGGTTCTGTTGCCTTTGAGAGCATATGGTAGCCCAGGAATGAGAATTACCCCATGATGGCATACCATTTGCAAAAGAAGACACCCCAAGGTATTGCAAATGGGGTATGTTCAGTCTTTTTTGTAGCCACTTAGTCAAAAACAATGGCCAAAGTTAGCGTTCATAATTGTTTTTTGCATTTTTAACACACAAATATAAATGCTAACTTTGGCCAGTGTTTGTGACTAAGTGGCTACTAAAAAAGTCTGTACATACCCCATATTGAATACCCTGGGATGTCTACTTTAAAAAAAAAAAAAGTACATCTGAGGTGTGATTCAGAGATTTGACAGATTACAGTGTTACAGTGTCACTATTAATACATTTTAAAAATATATATTTTGAAGTAGCAATGTCCTACTTGTACTTATAGCCCTATAACGTGCAAAAAAAAAAGCTAAGAACAAGTTAACATTGGGTATTTCTAAACTCAGGACAAAATTTAGAAACTATTTATCACGGGTGCTTTTTGGCAGTTGTAGATGCGTAACAGATTTTGAGGGTCAAAGTTAGAAAAGGTGTGGGGGGTTTTTTGTGTTTGTTTTTAAATCATATTTAAAAAAAATTTTTTATAGTAAATTCTATGATATGATGAAAATAATGGTATCTTTAGAACATGGGTCATCAACCTGGTCCCTACCACCCACTAGTGGGCGTTTCAGGATTCCAGGTGAGCGGTAGGGATTTCGGTGGCTAAATCCTCTTTTTGAGAGGATTTCTCCTTTTTAGACTGGGCGGGCGGGCGCAAAATTTCAGTGACTGGCAGGAGGGAAGCACTCCCTCCTGCCAGGCCACTTTCTGGCCCCCCCGGCGCGGCAGAGTTCTAATCTGAGGCGGTGAGGGAGCTCTAACCTCTCTGCTCTGCTCCCTCGCGCATGTTTGCTGATGTCGCGGGAGCCGGAATATGACGTCATATTCCGGCTCCTGGCATCAGTAGACAGCCTGCGAGGGAGCAGAGCAGAGAGGTTAGAGCTCCCTCGCCGCCTCGGATTAGAACTCTGCCGCCCGCCGAAGTAAAGCCCCACTGGACCCCAAAGACAGATCCACACCAGCTCTCCAGGTATTAATAATTTGTGTGTGTGTCTGTAGAGAGCGAACTCGGGGACTGGTCCTGGCCGCATATCACTTGGTTCGGCAGGGTGGAAATCTTCAAAATGAACCTCCTACCACGAGTACTCTACCTTTTTCAAGCTCTACCGATTTTCATTCCAAAGGCCTTTTTCACTTCCCTGCGATCCCTGAACCCGAGGTTTGTGTGGCTGAAATCACACCCATGCATCAAACATGATATCCTCACCTTGCCGAAGTCCGAGGAAGGGTTGGCACTACCAGACTTCGACTTTAACTACCAGGCCACACACATACAGAGAGTGGTGGAGTGGTCTAAAAGGGAGTACAGAAGCTCTGGGAACAAGTAGAAGCCATGCACATGGGGAGGCAGATGGTGGTGGTGCTGTAGCTGGACCTACTGATAGTGGCAAAGCTAGCATCCCAACAACCTTTTTTTAAAAGCAACACTCCAAGTCTGGCGCTCTCAGGCCCCAAATATGGAACTCACTTCCTTCACTTCACCCCTCTATCCCTTCACGCACAACCCAGCCTTCCCACCGGGACTAGAAACAAAAGCCCTTCAAAGACTAACGAGGCAGGCCCTGCCACAGATCAGACACATACTGCAAGAGGACATAGTCAAACCCATAACACTCCTACTAAACACAGGGAACCCACATTTTATGCAGTAGTTCCGCTACAAACAATTTACGGAATTTTACTATTCCATGCCACAGAGGCTCCTCCTGACTCTGGTTCTAACATCACTAGAGGCCGTCTGTGAGGAAGAGGACCCCTAGAGCATGGGATCTCCTTCTTGTACAGGCTACTTATGCCGCAGAGGAAGCACCCACCCCTAAGCTTTATGGGCAAATGGAAGATAGCTCTGGGGTAAACCTTCACCCCAGCGAAGTGGCAAAAAATGTGTGACCTAACCAGCCCATTGGGCTTGGTGCTGACAATTATGATGGGCCTATTTACAGAATCTTATCGACAGAAAACACTAAAACAGTTGTACATCCCAAACGTCACGTATCTGGTGGAGGTGGTGCCGGAGGGAAACTCTCAGCTAACAGAAAACACATACCATATGCTAATCTCTCACTTTCATCTTTCAAGTAAATCTAACAGCAGTGTGGAGTGAAGCCGGATTTTCGTGGGGGGGGCGCTGAAAATTCACCATAGAGATTCATTGATTCAATGCATATCTTTGAGGAAAAGCTGATTGATGCAGGGCTGTGTTTTGCCATGCATGCGCAAAAGCCTCCCGATGCTCTCCTGATCTCCTCCAAGGAGGCCAAACGGGAGGAGACCCAGGACAGGACTAGCCGCAAGGAGACCTGTGTAGCGCTGATCAAAAGGTGAGTAAAATCATCTTTTGCTCTCCTGACAGGGGCCTGGGGGCTTAAATATTAATTTCACAGCAATAGTGGCATGAATACATGGTTTTATTCCTGTAACTATAGTTTCCTTTAATGATTGACATAACTGCCTTATACATATTTATTATTGAACTAGGGAAAGCCAGCATAAATGGACATGTGGTTTATTTATTATTCTTTAGAGAATCATATATTGTTGTATTTCCTGGACAGGGCAGGACAGAAATGACAGTTTTTATTTCAGCAAGCAGTAAAGTACGTTTCACCGGATATACCAATTACAGCTGTTGTATTCTGTAGGGCAAGCATGTCAAACTTGCGGCCCACAAGGACCATCTTTGCGGCCCGGCGAGCTGCGAGTACATGCTGGTGTTATCGCAGAGTAGGCACCTGCTTTTCCCACATTGCAGGTGCCTACTCTGCTAATACTTACCCGGCCGGGGAGGAGGGCCAGCGGAGGAGAGCTCAGTGTTCCTGCTCCTCACTGCTCCCTCGCGCGCACCATCTGTAGTGAAGCCAAACGCCGGAATATGACATCATATTCCAGCACCTGGCATTATTGAACCACGCGAGGGAGCAGTGAGGGGCAGGAAGAAGATCCCCAGACAGAGGATCCCCACACCAGTTCCCAAAGGTAGGGAACTATAAATTAAATAATGTGAGTGCAAGAATGTTTGTGTGTGTGTCTGTCAGTGAGTGTCTGTCTGTCTGTGTCTGTCAAGGAGTATGTGTGTGTGTGTTGGTCAGTGTTGCATTGGCTGCGACTGGACAGTGGAGGTGCATGGAGGCACGCAACGCCACGTGGCATCAACGTGCTCCACCTTCACAGGGTTTCAAGAAGTAGCGGGAGGATCAGATTTGGCACAGGGTGGTAGAGGAGGGTGCTGTGGTTTAGTAGAGGGACGACGACTGGGATTTAGTAGCGGGGGTGCTGTGGTTTAGTAGAGTGTGATGCTGGGTTGGGTTTTTTTTATATACTGTACTTTTTTCTATGAAAACATAAGGTTTTTGGGGGGGTTTTTTGCGGCCCACATAAACTTAAACCTTGTTAAAGTGGCCCGTGCCAAACTTTGAGTTTGACGTGCTTGCTGTACAGAAGCATATTCAAAGGAGAAGTAGCACACAAAAAAAAAAAACCTGAACAAAAATGACTTTATAAAACATATGCTAATACTTCAAGTGACTTTTGAAAGAAGGCCTGTTTGAAAGAAAAGTTTAAATATTTTTCCAAATTCTCCACACCACTGCCACATCACTTGGGAATCCTCTCTCAAGGAAGGTGCACACACAAGACTTTGTAGATAAATCTTACATAGTTACATAGCTGAAAAGAGACTTGCGTCCATCAAGTTCAGTCTAACTCACATTTGTTTTTTGCTGTTGATCCAAAAGAAGGCAAAAAAAACCAGTTTGAAGCACAATTTTGCAACAAGCTAGGAAAAAAATTCCTTCTTGACCCCAGAATGGCAGTCAGGTTTATCCTTGGATCAAGCAGTTATTACCCTACATTATCTTGAAGTTTAATTGTGCAATCATACACCAGAAAATGTGTCGACGTTTCAGTCCTCTATGGGACTTTTGAGAAAAGTAAATGCACATTCCTGATATTTATATTTTGGCATAAGTGATTTGCACCCAGGCAAGGACAAGACCGGGTGAGTGCTGGATCCACAATCCACACATATAGATATTATATGTTGAGATATATATATATATATATTTTGTTGATATATGAATAATATATGTGTGTGTGTGTGTGTGTGTGTGTCTGCACATACAAATGCTATACCATAATCCTCCATTCAGAAGTTTCAAATATTTTAAAAGGTCATTAATTTCAGTCATTTGAGAAGGTTCCACAGGGATGTCTTAGACAGGATTCAGTGCATTGTTAAGCTGCTGTATTATAATAATTATACATTTTATCTTTATACCTTGGAATCAATCTAGGATCACTCACATTTTCTTCTCATGCAAAATACAGATATATATCTTTAGTTGGTTTATGGGTGAATTATTGCCAAACTATTTTGTAGGCTCTCTGAAGTATTACTAGATTGGCAAATACTAGAACATTCCCATACTGAACATATATCTTCTTCAAAGGCGTTCACTATATTGTGACTAGAATGCATTCATGACCATCCCTCTCTCTGTGGTTCTGTGTCTCTGCTCCCCAGTAAAACTGTAGTGCATAGACCTACATTGAATGTGTGTCCTGTTAGCATGGGGTCGCATACGTGAGCTGACCCAGCCTCATGTGGACATTAGACAAAGCATCTCATTAATGGCAGTGGAGATCCCATATTGCTGCTGGGTTGGCGAGTTAAAACTGACTTGGTTTGACTAATCGGTCACTGTTGTCCCATCTATAGGATAAAAATGGAGATGGGGCTCAAGAATTGGAAAGTATGCAGTCGGACCGCCTCAGAGTACTTCAGATGAATGTATGCAATGAGGAGGAAGTCAGCAGGGCTTTGGAGTTTGTGAAAAGGCATCTTAGAGACCCAGAACACGGTAATTAATTTAATTCTGACATGCATCCGTAAACCAATAAAGGTAAAGCACCCTCCATTTTATAATAACGTACCAAATCATAAAGTGTAAAAAATCCCAGTAACAAAATCACATGAAAGATAAAAGTGAAAATAATAATGGATAAAGAAATAGCGAGAGGAAGAATAGAATGAGCAGAATGTAGCGGCAACAAGCCAATTAAACGTGAATACACAAGATAAAAATTGAATCTTTCATTTACACCCGCAAGAAACATCATTTTAAAGGTGTAAATCCATCAGGATTTAGATCTTAACAAGAGATGTTTGATATTGTTATTACGTAAATTGAGATGTATTCTTTCAATTGCCTAACATTTTAGATTTATCCCCCTGTGTTACAGCCGTGCATAATAACACTCCATTGGCTTACCTTCCCATTTCATCTTCTCTTTTTGTTTTCCCTACTACCCACTTTATATACATTTCTATACTTTACTGCACTTATTTTTTATTCATGAAACTGTAACTGTTATTTTAAAAGGTAAACTACAAATTATAACAAGTAATAAAATATCCACAATATACTGAATATTGGAGATACAGCTGTCCCTGATTGGCAGCTAAGATTGTATTTAATGTTCAACGTTATTTTAGTTTTGGGTCCTCGAAGAAGTCCTGTGTTAAACAAAACGTAGGACCAGTTTGTTTTGATTTGTCTTTATCTTATTTTACCTTGTTAATTTTTTTAGTATATGGCAATGGCAAAATAAAAGCAGACTTTTGTATACTATCCTGTGTTCTGGAAAACATATTTGGAGGAAAGTCCACAGCCACAAGTGGATTTCCAGGTTGGATAGCCGCCCAAGTATCTATATTGAGGCAACCTAAAGCGATAATATCCAGAAACAGCTTGTGAATGCAGCTGTACTTGGCAATACATTGCTATATTATACTGCGTTACACTATGTTGTGACTTTTTTTTTTTGGCCGCTGTATCCCCAATATTCGTTGTACAATGGCTATTTTGTAAGCAGCGTATATTATGGGATATATACCCAGGTGAAGCAGCATCCTAAATATATTTGCTAGATAAGTGTATTTCTATCCACAATTAGAACCTAGTTTGTAGGTTGTTTTGTGTACATATACACCAGGTAATAAAATATGTCAGGTTTTGTGCTGAAATTTAGAATTGTTATCAAACATTTCTTTATCTTGCTCTGTTGTTTGCAGGTTTGTGGGGTGTAGTAAACAATGCTGGCATAGCTACCTACGGAGATGTGGAATTTACAGGTCTAGACACATACAAGAAGGTGGCAGATGTGAACCTGTGGGGAACAATAAGAGTAACAAAAGTGTTCTTACCTCTAGTACGCCGAGCAAAAGGTGAGTCACAATCCAAAAAAAGGCAAAGCTGGAACAATTGGAGTGAATTATTGTTTCTGCTTATTCTCTGTAATTATGCACAGAATTGCCTTAGCAGAATATATAATATATATATATGTGTGTGTGTGTGTGTGTAATATAATTTAAAAAAAAAAATTTTAGTTTTTTTTTTTTCAATCGGAGAGCTGGCTTAGAGGCAGGCTATTAGAACACAGGGGGTTTGATCTGCAGCCTCACAGCATTCCTCTGCTGATTAAAAGCAAGTTCTGTGTTTTGAGATGTCTGTTAGTATATTACTCCAGCCCTGGATTGTCCCTCAGGGATATTTCTCAGGAGACTGAAGTATCTGAGGTTTACCAGGTTTCCAGACTAGGAGTTTCTAACTCCCTTGAGGTGTTTGCAGGTGACTGCAGAGTGAGATGAGACGATAATCATGACATTCATAACACACATTAGATGGTGGCAACAGAGTCATGAGACACAATCAAACTGCGCACAGATCTCTGTGAATGCCGTTGCATGCTGCTCAGGTCATACTGATTGAGTTAACTAAAAAAAAAAAAAGCGAACTATGCGGGGTGTGGAAAATGAGTATAGAGTTGAATAAAACTTAACTTTTATTGGTATAAATAAAAACTAAAACAAAATAAATATATACAAGCAAAACAACAAAAAAAATGTACATACAGAACCAATAACATAATGTAAAAAATCTCCTTGATGTTGCTGCAATGTGATATACACTGTCTGTATAATGGAATAATAAACAAAGTAGCAATGAAAAGAAACAGAGCAGTGATAAGGTGAAGGAGTAGCAACAGCATAGTATGCACGTCACAGTCAGGCCTAACACTCTGACAGCTGCAAACCAACTATCTAGGTTAACTAAACCAATGTGGTGCTATACCAATACGAGGGAAGGGGGGAAAATACCTATTCTGGCCCCTTGTGCCTTTGAGGGCACCCCCAGTCTATACCCCTTCTCAAATAACAAAGTAGGCAGTAGTTTTAGAAGGTAACTAGCAGCTGTGGAGAGAGACTACCTGAATCGGGAGAAATATCAAAACTATAATACCAAAAAATCAACTTCCCAATCTATCACATTATAGAAACAGACTGGATAGCTGGTCTGATAACCATTGAAGCTACACCAGCTTTGGGAACATAGTTAGAGCCCCTGACGTACATTTCGCCAGTGGTGGCTCATCAGATGTCATACATCTGCACTTCAAATAAAGTCTGCCTTCACCAGAAACCTCCAGGTGTGCCCAAATATTCAACCTATAGCTAAAAGACATACAACATTCACCTATACAGCGTAGTGCAAGAAACCAGCATGCATAAAATTAAATGGTAATTACCCTTTGACATAAATGTAGATAAAAACCAACGATACCTCTTAAGTCCTCAAATTAGAAATACACAAACAGGATATCTACAAAAAATGAATAAAAAGACCATATAGTGTAATAATGTTATTTTGAACTTACAAGAGGTAGAAGATAAAAAAAGCCCATCAACAAATATCCGTGAAGCAGGTATCAGTATACACAGTGTCTTTCACTTCCTCAAGATAGATGTGTCAGGAAACAAATATATTAAAATAATAAACAGTACAGCATATGGAATGATACAGTCCTATGCGTTTTGTCTATATCAGCAAGACTTCCTCAGGGCAAAACATATTCAGGTTGCAGTTGGTTCATTGGTCTTTCTGCCTTGAGTTTTGTCTTCATGCTCGATCCGGTTGAGATCAGGTGATTGACTCGGCCATTGTAGAATATTCAATTTCTTTGACCGTAAAAAAAACTCCTGGTTTGCTTTTGCAGTATATTTTGGGTCATTGTCCATTTTGTAAAGTGAAGCACCATCCAATCAGCTGAATCTGAGAAAACAATATAGCCCTGTACACGTCAGAATTCAACCGCTTCTGTCTTCTGTCACATCATCCATAAACACTAGTGACCCAGTGCCATTTGAAGCCATGCATGCCCATGCCATCACACACTGCCTCCAACGTGTTTTACAGATGATGTGGTATTCTTCAGATCCGTTCCAAGCCTTCTCCATACTTTTTTTTTATTTTTCTTACCTTCATTTTGGTACATGTTGATGTATGTTTCAGCTGTCCAAAGAATGGTGTTCCAGAATTCTGTTGCATTTTTTTAGATGTTTATTTGCAAAGTCTAATCTGGCCTTTCTATTCTTGAGGCTTATGAATGGTTTGGACCTTGTGGTGATCCTTCTATTTGCTCTTGTGAAGTCTTCTCTTTGTGGTAGCTCTGGATAGTGATATGCCTACCTCCTGGAGAGTGTTCTTCACTTGGCTGGATGTTTTGAAGAGGTTTATCTTTACCGTGGAAAGGATCATATGATCATTCGCGACTGTTGTTTTCCATGGACGACAAGGCTTTTTTGTGTTACAAAGCTCACCAGTGCATACTTTTTTTTTTTTTTCCTCAGAATGTACCAAACTGTTGATTTGGCCACTCCTAATGTTCCTGCTATCTCTCTAGATTTTTTATTTGCGGACTAATGATGGAATGTTTCACTTACATTGAGAGCTTCTTTAATGCATGTTGTGGGTTCACAGCAACAGGTTCCAAATGCGAAACAACTCCAGACCTGTTACCTGCTTAATTGATGAAGAAATAATGAAGGATAGCCAACACCTGTCCATGAAATAGCTTTGGATTCAATTGTCCAAATACTTTTTGTCCCTTGGGAAAAAAGAAGGGGCTACATATATTAGGGCTGTAATGCCTAAACCCTTCCTTCAATTTGGATGTGGATATCCTCACATTAAAGAGAGACTGCACCTTAAGCACATATTCATTATTTAACTGTAACTTGAATTTATTTAAGTATACAGCTAAAATAACAAAATGTATGCCAGTGTCCAACTATTTCTGGACCTAGCTGTATTTTATATGTGCGAGTGTGTGAATCAAAGGCAATGAACGTTTTTCATTCTTAGAACATTAACCTGAAAGTCACCCAAACTAGAATTGTTGTATGTAATGCTTTTAAGCTTACTAAATCCTATCCTTTGCAGGATTTAAAAAGATTAATTTATGCGTATATTCTTTTAAAATCGCTCACAAGCTACATCTCCCTTTAGAATGAAGTATAATTGACAAACTAAGAAATACACTAGGTGGCGCATTCAACATGCAAACGAAAAGTGCAAGTGCAGAATAAATAAATACCAAACTGGCTCAGGTAAAAGCGTTTATTGAAGTGGTGATGGTTATCCAGTATTCACTCCAGCCAATAGCCTCTCTCTCTCAACATATATAAATGGAAAGGCACGAGATTAGATATAAACATACAATTTATTGAACAAGAAAATTGTAAAATCTTACATAAAAGTACAGTCTTGAGCTACAATTCCTTAAAACACATGTTTCGACCTCTCAGTAGATCTTCATCATGTGTAATGAACGGTGTCCGGTCACCTAGGAGAATATACACCGCTCTAAATCGCCCCGGAAAGAGGTACATGTGGGATAAGAGCCCTCCTCTCATTCCCATATATGGTCCATACCCGATGTACCTTCCACCACCTCTAACATGGCGGAACGTCCGGTTATGACCCAAACACATAAAAATATACATTTCTACCAATCGATTTTAGTTTTATAATGTTAGTGAATTGTCAGCAATGGCCTATAACTTCACTTAGAAACCGGGATAAATGGTCGTCATGGGTATGATGAAAGTTGAATCTCGATTTCTGCAGTTTAGAAAGATCTATGCAGGGTATGGGTTTCCTCTGGAAAATGCTGCAGTAACAAAGATCCAATCTAGTAGGATAGGTAAATTCAAAAGAATTTACAAACCAGAGATTTCATGAGAAATAAGTATACAATGATAAAAAAGCAAGAATACACTGCTACTGTGGGCATGCCGTCTCATCACCTCATAAATAGGACACCAGAGGACCAAAGTGGGACAGAGTTTGGAACGGGTATTGCACGTGTTCAGAGGCTGCTTGTGGCATTGCATATATGTAGTATACTGTGTGTTATCTGGGTAGTATTTGTGGCTAGGGCTGTAGTGTGTCTGTGTCTTAGGGGACTATTGGCTGTAGAGTGTGAAGGGTAGAGAAATTTTAAATAAATGAAACCTTAATAGTTATTAAATGTGTGGTTGTGGTGGAGATAAAAATCTCACAGGTGAGGAGTAAATAATATGGATAGAGACTAAACTCTACTGGACTGGATGGGGTTCCCACCTTATATCCCCTATAAGTGCAATCTAAAAGTAAGATGTTCGATAAAATCTAACTAAATGCCCAGGAGTGATATAGGAATATTAAATAGTGCTATAGAACAAAATATACAGAAATGAATATAATGCTTTAAATTACCTCTTTAACAGCTTGTGTGAGGTATGATAAACAAATATCAGTATTTTCCTTAAAGTTCAATATTGGGAATCAAAGTTCACAATGTAGCAATAACATACAATAATAACTGTATATAAACATTGAATTGTAAAAAAGCTGCATATAAGTCCACAATAATAGCGGCTAATATAGTCTCTGTTAAATACAGTTCTATAGCTGTGGTTAAAATGTAAGCTGATAGCAGTTGACTCCAGTTACTGGATTGGCTGGGGTATATCTGCTAAATTAGCAAGTATGATATAGTACAAAAAAACAATAATGGTCTCCTTTAGATGATGAATTAGCTTGGAAAATTGTACACTGCTGATTTTATAATAAACTTGAAAATCATAGGCAAGGATTTAAAGTTCTGAGTAATCGTAACAAAAAAAAAATCCATAATGTTTACTCTATCAAAGAAAACATCTTATTCAACAAATATAATAAAAAAGTAGTTTGGTGAAAATTACTCACTATCTGCACCAAGTGGTTATTAGAATGCTACTGAGTTCGTTGGTGACAGCGTAGTTTGTGTATCCGTTCTCCATTTTGCTTGTCTTGGCCCAGAGAAGGGGCTACATGCTAATCCCCTGAACCAACACGAAATAAATGTTTTCAATTTTAAATCTGTGTGTTTATTTTAAACATTGTAATTTTCTGCACTCTTGAAGAAATGTAATTACACACATAAGGCTATTGCTGGCTATTGGCCAAATTTCACACACAGTGCAATAAAGGTAGCTCAAAAATGCTACTGGCATTGGGAGGCCCTTTGGTTTATGTCAGAGAGCTTTGTTGTACAAAGAACTGGGGGACGGTGCCCTTTCTAACTCCATCTCTGGCAGTATCACTGAGATGTCAATAGCCAACATTGGACAAGAACTCTGTCAATTCTGTGCACATTTCAATGCACAGTGTGCCATTCATTGGCTGAGTGAGGTCAACTGATGCTGTCTGCAAATTAATTGTGACTGGATCCATTTCTGCTTGGAAGGGAGTAACACACAGAGAGAGGGGTTGGAAGAGACACACAAAGGGAAGAAATGGTGATATGATATACTAAAGGGGGTGTTAGACAAAAGAGGAATAAACTGAAGACATTCAAAAAAGAGCAGAAGAAACACAAAAGTGGGTAAGAAATCCATGAGGATGATTAAGGGACACACAGGTGAAGATTCATTTTTTTTAATTTATTTTTTTTTTTTGGAGGGGGCAGCAACGGCAAAATGCATCATTACCTGTAGCCATAAATCCTTGCAACTGCCCTGGTATTTGTTGTACTGTTAATTTGGCTATATTGCTGTAAAAATATTTTGTCAAATAATGAGGGGTCATTGGTAAAAGTTTGGTGATACTGCTTGCAAACATCAGCAACTTGGGGACGGTAGTATCAGTGTTTGTTCTGCTTAAATGCAAACACTTTGCACATCTTTGGTTAAAAAGTGTTTTCAGTCCTGGTATTTTTAATGGTGCATTCGATAACTGAATGATGGTTCTGTTAAAATGTCATTAAATGTTCTGTGAAAGCTTGTGGTCGCTTAAGCGTCACATTTTTATTGTTTTATTGTTTAAATGTTTTAATTCTTAATGTTTACATCCATAAATAAGTTTATGTAAGAATAAAAGAAGTTGTGCTTTTCTGTCCTTTTGGCCTCTCATAGGTATAAATAAGAAAGAATTAACTTGGGGAACCATTAACGTGATGTAATTTTGCTTTTCTATATAATTTTTTTTATTTTATTCCACCCCCACCCCCAGGTCGTGTGGTTTGTATGGTAAGCATGCTTGGAAGAATGGGCAGCCCATCTCGATCTAGCTACTGTGTATCAAAATATGGCGTGGAGGCATTTTGTGACTGCCTGAGACAAGAAATGTACCATTGGGGAGTCAAGGTGATTGCCATTGAACCTGGAAACTTTATTGCTGCCACAAATATTTTCACAAAAGATGGTGTGGAAAAACAAGCTGAGGAAATGTGGGAAAAAGCCTCAGATGTTGTGCAAGAGGATTATGGTAAACCTTATTTCATTCAACAGGTTGCTAGAATGAAATCCTTTGTGAGCTCCGGTTCAAAGAACATGTCAAGTGTTATTAATGCAATTACAGATGCTCTTAGTTCAAAATATCCATACACACGATACAACCCCTCGGAAACCTATTGGTGGATAAAGGTCCAAATTATGACTCACCTTCCAACTGCCATTGCTGACAGGATTTACATACGTTAAAACTGTAACATTTGCCACAAGTGATTTTCTGTTACTACCATGAATCAACTCTATGGGAAACAACCCCTAAAAAAAAAAATCTAGCTAATATTTAGAATCTTCGAAGACCTCTTTACAGCCAGAATGTGGACAATAAATAAATCATGCAGGTGGTATATCTTTGGAATAGGTAAATCAAATTAATCTGTCGTCTATAAAACTTAAGGCTGACAGGGTCGTGTTTTGTAGGCATACATGTAATCTATACATTGTGCTAACTAAATTGCCAGTCGCCAATAAATGTATAGCTCAAATAATATACAGTCATGGGAAAAAGAAACACCCTCTTTGAATTCTGTGGTTGTACATTTACATAGTTTTGTCATCTCAATCCATGACTGTCGCTACCTAGAGGAACATTTCCTATAAGTTTAAGAGGACAACTGCAACAAATGCATTACATATTCCATAATGGTTAATTTGTGGCTGTAATGCTAAACATTGTGTGATACCACATGCATTACTTGGAGGCGGGCCAGGTGAGCGCAAGTCTTTTAGACTATAAAAGTCTGAGAATGCCAAACTAATTTAGGGAAACATTTGCACTATTCATTTTTTAACTGCAGGATATTTCTTAATGAAAGGTGTCCTTCAAAATGGACCTCGCTCACAAAAATAAATTTACATACAGATGCATTATAATTTTGAATTATAATTTCTGAAGTCTTTTAACAATATATTATTTAACTAAAACTGCCATTAGCCAAGTTGCTGGGAAAATATCATGGCTGCTATAACCCACTGCCTCTGGAATGACATGGATTGCCAATCCAAGGTCTCATGGAAGAAAGTGCATCAGGTGGTGCCCTTATAAACACAGAGCTGGATGTACACAAAGCCTTTAACCTATTGAGTGGAGGATCCACAGAAGTCACTTTTCAAAGATACATGTTGAATATGAATTTGTGACATGTATAATGTCGGCTTTCAAAGGATCTTTAATTCATTCCTGATCTTGCTATTATGGAGTGGGTTTCTATGACCAGAGGCTGTAAAGGCAACAATAAATTCTCTATTTTAGAGAGGCAATGTTATTACCATTGAACCTATTTTACTGCCACCAATAATATCACCTGAGATAATACGGAATATTTATTAATTACCCAGTTTGGACATCCAGCTTCAGATTTTCCATATAGGAAAGCATTGAATAGGCATCTTAACTCCTATGGGGATGTCTAATGGGCACGCGGCCATTGCCACGCACGTGCATTAGGTTTCCTCTGCCGGCTGACGTGTGCGTGAAAGAGCGTGGGCGCAGCCTGACGTGTGGGAATTTGTTAGATATGAATTGCAACTCAGGGAAACTTTACTGGGGTCCAGGTTTGAGGGGAAATCCTATTATTCTGAAACAAATTTGACCCTAGTTAACATTATATACACTGAAAGGCAAACGTGCAAGAATATAAATTATTTTTCGGTATATTTTAAAAATTACGCACATGGTCTATAAAGACATTTGAATGGCACTCTGGAATAAGAAAATGTGTCCGTATTTGATTGACCTTTGTGATTAAAAGAAGTAATGTTACCAATATGTAAACGCAATATGTAATTTCTGTTTGTATTACAGTTTTATTATTCAGTTCCAACTGAAAAGATTTTATTAACCTAATGTATATAACATACTGACAATAAAAGTTTTAAATCCGTTTTTATATTATCAAATTGTATTGTTTGTGTGAATTTCATAGACCAATAGAAAAGACCTAAGTAACCCTTTGTTTACGCTGTTTCCCCCGATATGGTACAAACTCAAAAATGAATTTCAAATTATCAGACCACAAATAAGGCTTAAAGGCTCATTCTTGCACCATTTGAATTGCCACAGGTAAAAGAACACCACCAGAGGTATCAATTGGGCAGCTGGAATTAGTTTCTAGTATGCCCATATTAATTCTGCCCAGACGGCGTGAGTACACTGCATGCAAAGTTTGATTCCTTTTACTATTTGTTGTATTTGTCAATAATATATTTAACCCCTTAGTGACCAGACCGCTTTTCAATTTTCTTCTTACCGTTTGGGACCAGGGCTGTTTTTACATTTCTGAGGTGTTTGTGTTTAGCTCTAATTTTCCTCTTACTCATTTACCGTACCCACACATATTATATACCATTTTTCTCGAAATTAAATGGTCTTTCTAAAGATATGAATATTTACATCATATCATATAATTTACTATTAAAAATATTATAAAATATGATGAAAACATGTAAATAAAACCACACCTTTTCTAACTTTGACCCCCAAAATATGTTGAGCATCTACAACCACCAAAAAAACCCTATGATAAATAGTTTCTACATTTTGTCCTGAGTTTAGAAATACCTAATGTTGACATGTTATTAGCTTTTTTGCAAGTTATAGGGCAATAAGTACAAGTAGCACTTTGCTATTTCCAAACCATTTTCTTTTCAAAAGTTACATTGTAACACTGATATCTGTCAGGAATCCCTGAATAACCCTTCACATGTACACACATAGCAATTTAAGAATACATGTACTGTAACTTTAAGGGTTACTGCCAAAGAACACCCCAATATGTGTTCAGAAACTTCTCCTGAGTACAGTGACCCCACCCATGTATAGGTGTGTCGTGTCCTCTAGGAGATAAAAGACCTTATATGTAGGGTGCGCATTCCAGTTTTCCAACTTGGAATTTTCACAGTTTGTCATCATGCATCCATGTCCTATTTGCCAATGTAATTTACCCCCATCAAACCATATGTTTTTGCAAAGAAGACACCCTAGGGCAGGGTTTGACAAATTTGCTTAGAATCTAGAAGTTAGGAGCCAGAGAAATCAACGCCACAAATACAATTCTTAAAGGACACTGTAGTCACCAGAACCACTACAGCTTAAAGTAGTTGTTCTGAAGTCTATATCCTGTTCCTGAATGCTTTTCAATGTAAACACTGACTTTTCAGACAAAAGGCAGTGTTTACATTGCTGCTTGGTGACACCTCTAGCGACCGTCACTGAGACGGCCTCTATAGGTGCTTCCTGGGTCAGTGCGTCACACTGTGCAGTTTCTACGTTAATGTTCCCTATAGGGATGCATTAGTTCAAGTTAAATTGGCGCGGTGGCATTTTGTCATGCATGCACAATAGCTTCACAATGCTTTCCCATGGGGAAGCATTGGATTGTCTGAGATAGTCAAGATTGATGATCTCAATCATGGTGGTGGGGGAAAAAATGGTAAATAAAAACATCTTTCCCGCTCACTGACTGACACACACATACATACATACAGACACATTCACAGACATACAGATACACTCACGACACACTCACTCACAAATTATTACCGTATTTTTCGCTCCATAAGACGCACTTTTTTTCCCCTCAAAAGTGAGGGGAAATGTCTGTGCGTCTTATGGAGCGAATGTGAAGCTTTACTTACCTGTCTTGTAGCGTGGGCCGGCTTCACAGCGCGCTCCACGGTACAGGAACTTCAATTTCAGGTTCCGGTTTCCGATGGGACTGAAAGGAAGTGCACACTCAGTGTGCACACTTCCTTTCAGTCCCGCCGGAAACCGGAACCTGAAATTGAAGTTCCTGTACCGCGGAGCGCACTGTGAAGCCGGCCCACGCTACAAGACAGGTAAGTAATTATGGGACAAGTGGAGGGGGGGACACAATGGGACAAGTGGAGGGGGGGACACTATGGGACAAGGGGAAGGGGGGACACTATGGGAGGGAAAGGGCACTATGGGACAAGGGGGAACACTATGGGATGAGAACACTGTTGGACAAGGGGAGGAGGGGTTAACAATCACTATGGGACAGAGGAAAGGGGGGTTAAAATAACTATGGGAAAGGGGAGGGGGGTTAAAGATCATTACGGGACAGGAGAGGGGAGTGGGTGGTAAGGAACAAAAAAATCCTTAAAAAAAATATTCTGAACAAACTGTCCCATAGTAAGAAACACTATGGAACAGTTCAGAATATTTTTTTTTCTGGGTTTCCTCCTCTAAAAACTAGGTGCGTCTTATGGTGAGGTGCATCTTATGGAGCGAAAAATACGGTACTTTTTTTATTTTAATGTAAATCCACCCACTCTCCCTACCTTTGGAGAGCTGGGGTCCAGTGGGGCTGCTGTCATCTCCCTGCTCTCTGTAAAAGTAGACAACCCACAGTATTCAAAATGGGGTATGTCCAGTCTTTTTTAATAGCCACTTAGTCACAAACCCTGGCCAAAATTAGCATTTATATTGTTTTTTTTGCATTTCTCACACATAAACTGCCATTTCACTTATGATATCAGTATAATACATTTTACTGCTCTAAAACACTAATATTTGTGTAGAGTAATGTCTCACGAGTACAACAGTATCCCTCAAGTACAGGTTTTACTGGTGATTTCATTGTCGTGATAAGTTTTACTTTTTAAAACATTCATATTTGTGTTCAGCGAAGTCTCCTGAGTATAACAATACCCCCCATGTAAAGGTTTTATGGTGTTTTGGAAAGCTACAGGGTTAAATATACTGCTTGCCAATTAAATTCTCTGGGTTCTCAGGCAGGTTCCTCAAATTATAATTAATAAAATCAAATAATTATGTAGTTAATAGTTAAATATATATATATATATATATATATATATGTGTGTGTAAGTAAAATGTTTTTGTTTTTTTTAAATTTATATTATATTTATATGTATTAAGGCTAATAGCCTGTATTTGAGGGAGGGTTTACCTGGCCTAAATACCCAGCCGGCCCTTACTTCAGAGCTGTCTTCACTCGATTGCTCTGCCTTGGAGGTTACCTCACTTACTGTTCCGGTCAGACATGTACTGCCGCGGACGGCGCTACACGACTCCTCCGACCTATCGGTCCTTTAAGGTTCTCCCCGGCAAGCAGTGTAAAAGCAGCTCTACACCCTCTTTCTTCCCCCCCCCACCCCCCCTTCCTCTATTTCACGGCTACTGCATCACCGCGGCCAGTACTGCACAGCTTCCCAGACCTTCCGGTCCCCTCGGGAACTCTCAGAGGACGCTGCCAAGGGTCTCCCCCTCCACCCAGAACAGCCCTCGCGGCCACTTAGTGCTACCCCACAGGCGGCGGATTGCTGCTCAGTTCACTTCTACTTTAGCTTGACTGGGCTCTCACTCCCAACAAGCTTAGCCACCCTTCTTAAAGCAACCACACGTTGGTTCTATATTCCTCATATTCCACACATCACTAAACACATATCTCGTTATAATCTTGTTACGTTGTCATTGATCAGTTTCAGTCACTATACACATACTGTAGGTCGCTATTTGCGCTCTGCTGAAGGCTGGATAATTTTTTTGTTTTATGTTTTTTTCCTTCTCCCCATTAACAGTTTGGTTTGATTAAACTGCGGGAGCTTACTTACTTAACCTCATTCTGGGTCAGGTGCATTACACACAAATTATATGCACCTGCCATACCTGTTCAATAGTGTCTTGAATGCATCTGTCCTACTATTTACTGCCCCAATAACTTTGTGTCAATTTGGGTTAAAACTGCGGTTACTCAGGTTTATCAATTTAATAGTCATACTGTTGTATAATATTACATGGGGTCTAATTGCTAGGCTTCATTAGGGGTTATGTATATGTATTAAAAAAAAAACCTCTGTACATGTTAGTTGTTGGATATGCTGGTAGTACTTATGGTCATAGTATGGCTCTCATATTTTTTTTTTTAGTTGCTTCAACCCTCCCCCCAGGTATAAAACAATCTTTTACGGTCGCTCTCACACTACTTGTTTCTACCAGGTATTCAGGGAAGTTGTGGTCATGGTTATGTTCTCAAACAGGTTATTACCTGGGGCTTCCCTAAGCCGGCCTATTATGTTTCTGTTTTTCAGCTCTCGTTGATTCTCATCCGTTACGGTACGCTCTCTTTAAATGGATTTATTCTGCTTCTCAGAGCACATCATATTCAGGTATATTTAGCCATCTATTCAGCCTGACGCCAGGCCCTCAGCCAGGTTTTCTTGTGTCCATTTTAATCACGTAACCCTGCCCTAGTCACGCCTAGGAATTTTAACCATACACTATCCCTAAGATGGTTTATTGTTGCCCCAGTCACACGTTTATCTATACTTATTCTCACGATCATACCTACCATGACTCAAGTACCTCCCTGCCATGTTGTTAAGTAGTTTTATATATCTAAGGTATTGACTCTGATATATTGCTTTACATTTAGATCATTCAACAATATCCATTATTTGACTAACTAAAACAGGAAGCACCTTTCATGTCTTATCCTGTTTCTGCACCCTGTTAAGGTATAACGAGGTTATTCGCGATTTTCCTAATAACTAGTATAGTGCATGCTGTCAATTCCTTCCCCTTTTGGTGAAGTTAGCAAGCACTTAACTTTCATAGGTTAGGTCGCTTATTACAACATCCAAGTCTATATTGTATTCACTAGTCCCTTGCATATATCACCCCAGACCAGTTATATCCTGCCAGTTCTTACCTCATTAGCAGCTAAGAACAGCATATCCACCCTTTCCAAACGAAGCCATATTCATTCCCTTCCATTGCAAGCTTAGAGGAACTGGCTTCAATGGAATAGTAGTCAGTCAATCCGAGGCATTAGCCATTTGAATGTTCTTCCCCACCTCACCACGGAGGTTCAACCCTGGGCCACTTCATAATCAGAGCCTCAACTAGACTCAACTAG